AGCGAACCGGCCGAGCCCCTCCCCGCGGGCGCTCCCGGCCGCCCCTGCGACACAGAGCCGCGTTTGTTTAGCCCGGGAGCGGTGTCCCTGGTTACATAATTCGCCCGATGGCATCAGACCCGGCGTGTTTCTGAGTCGCGCAGCGAAAAAGTGCGGGCTCTCCGTGGGCAGCGGCCCCGCCTCGCTGAGGGCCGGTGGGGATGCGAGGAGGCCGGCGGCCGGCCCTCCCCGGGGTGGGGGGCGGGGGGAAGATGGGGACCCGAGGGGGGAGCTCTCTTGAGTTTGGTCGTGGTGGAGGCCCCGAAACTCTTGCCCCCCCACCCCCTCTTCAGGCTTTGAGGACGGTGTCTAGAAGCGCGGGGAGTGAGGACCAGCGTCATTTATTTCTGGAGAACTTCCCGCACTGGGGCCGCCTGGCCCTGAGCCGGAGAGCACACTCTGGGGCCTGACTCGGAGTTACACCCTCGCCTGGGCCTCCCACCCCCACCCCCACCCCAGAGCGGGGCGCAAGGGCCCGTGCTGCGGGGGAACACGGGCTTAGAGCCTGTGGGGGGCCAGCAGCGGGGTCTCTGTGTTGCCCCCAACCCCCCTATTTGGTAACATAAGTCAGCAGATCACTTATTGGTGGGGTTCACAGACCCAAGGAGCTCCCCCAACTTGCCCAGGGGCAAAGGAGCTGGACTGGGAGAGCCAGCCTTCCCCGGCTCCCCGCGTGGGGGGCAGTGCAGCTTCCGGAATCACGGTTCTCCTTTCACAAGCCTGTCCTGGAGGAGAGCCTGGCGACCCGATCCCAGCCCGCCAAGGCCCTGACTCCCTCTCCCCCGCTGCATCGCCAACCCAGCTGTGACCCCAGCTGCCGCTCACCCCTCTGCTCTCCGCTCAGCTGCGCCGCCCGCCCGCCGAGGGGGAAGAGGGGAGGCTTTCCATGTTGATAACTTCACTCTCTGTCCAACCTCCCCCCAGGAAAGGACTCCGAGAGGCCTCCAACACTGAAGAGATTTGGGGTGGGAGGATTCCAGAGGCAGCAGTGTTGGGGAGAAGGGGGAAGAACAGCCCTGTGCCTCCCCAGCAGGTCCTCGCTTCCGGAGGGGCTCAGGAGGGGGCCTTCCTGGTGAGGGCACCACCCAGGGGTGAGGGCAAGCTGACCTGCTGAAGGGCCATCTCAGAGTTCAGAGCTGGACAGCTCATCCAGAGCGAATGGCAGGGAAGAGAAGAGATGACAGCAGAAAGCAAAGCAGCTGGCTCCTTGACAGTGTTTAGTTGTTGATGCTGGTTGGAGTTGCGTTTTTCATTTCCTTTGTTTGTGTGGCTTGTCCTTCAGATTTATCCCTGGAGGAATCTGAATTCTTAAGCCAGCAGCCCTGGGTCTCCCCCCCTAGCCGCCCCCCCCCCCCATGTAATTTGATTACAGTCCAGAGAAAGCATACTTTCTTCCTGGGCTGCTCAGGCAACCACCAAAGCCAACTTTCTGAGTTCCTCGTCATTTACAAATCTTGCATCTTAAAAAAAAAAAAATGGAAGTAGGAAGCAAATGTTTTAGCTACTTTAGGAGCTCCTTGCCTCCCTTTTCTCCATAGCACCTCATCTCTAGGCCCTTCTCCCTTTGGAAGAAGAGGAAGAAGTGGAGGGCAATTTATTAATAAATTTCTAGAAAACACAAATTGTTCCTAGCTTGAGCAGTTTCTTAGTGAAGTTGTTGCCATTGCAGCGTTGTTTTGTGTATGTGTGTGTGTCGTTTTCTTTCCTGGTTTGGCATTCTCTTCTCAGGCCTTTCACACTGGCTGGGTGTGCTGAGTATTCAAAAGTAATTACAGTAGGGGAAGTAGAAGAAAGTTGCTGAAAGCATTGATGATAAAAAGGCCAAAATTGGATCATCTTCCCAGACAGATGGGTGAAATGGCTTCCTGGTAACAGCAAGAACAGGGTTGTGTGTAATATCCAAAGTAAAAAAGAAAAGTTATCAGTTTGGCCAGAGAATGGCCCTTTCTTGCAGCCCACATGAGGGTGTCGCCCCATTGCTGGGAGGCTGTACCATGGGCTCTGAGATTAGATGGGAAAGCCAAGGGGACAGGCCACCTCTCTAACCTCCCAGTGCGAAATGAGAGGGCGGAGGCCGCCTCTTCCAGAGCTCCAAGTGACTCACAGGCCCTTTGGGGGAGTTGGGGCCTTTGGGACCTTTCTTGTTTCCATGAGACCTGATGTCCCTTCCTTTCAGGGAGAGGAGGGTGATGCTTTGGGTTGCCTTCTGAAATGTGTAACTGAACTGGTTCTGGCAGCTGACCGTACCTAAGAATTAGGGCTACGGCAGGTTTTTCTAGCTCCTGCTTTCTCCTCCCCCGGAGGGAGACTTTCTGCCTCATTGCTCATGAAGGAGCTACCTTTCCCTATAGCTGTAGCTAGGCCCTTAGCCTGAGAAGCTGAGGCAGTCTTGTTGGGGCTTTCTTCCTTAGCTGGCTCTTGTGGGTCCACGGTGCCTGTTGGTAGCTGGCTGCTCCTGCCTGCTGGTTTCTCTCCTCCTTGCCCAGTCTTCAGCCTTGGCCTCTTTGTGGCTGCCGAAGCTAGCGCCTGTGTCTCCTTTAGAGTCTCCCTCCCCCTTTCTTGGAGTGGGTCATGGCTTGTGGGGTGACTTGAGTTTCTGTTTGCTCAAGGGAGTCCTGCTAACTCAGCAATGAAGTTTGAAATGCCCAACATCCTGGGGAGGGGAGTTTACAGTTCTGCTGCTGGATTTGACTTACAGAGCTTTCAGCTGAGCAGGACGTAGGAATTGCTGTGAAAAGCCTTTCCTGAGACGGCAAGAGAGTATGGTGTTCCTGTCTCCGTCCTTCTCTGCTGTAGGGGACTTAAAGAAACTGGGCGATAGAGAGGTCCCTTTTCATCCTCTGGGAATTTCTGAATCCCTTCTGATCATGGACTTTGTTAAACCAGTAAATGCTGTATTAGTCACATTTCTAGACAAGGTGAATTGATGCTCCCAGCCATTCTTTGGATAATTTATTAATAGAAGTGTTCGCAACTAAGTATGGGAAAGAGAGACAATGTGTACATATTTATATACAAATATATCCCTTTCTCTTCCTCCTCAACATTCTTCCTGCTAGCTTTTGAGTAATTTGGGGGTCTTGTCTATTCCCATTTTGGAATAGGTAGTGGTGGTGGGGAAGTGAGGCAGGGGCAGCAGTTAAAGTGTTCGTTGTTATTTCAAATAATTCTTTCAGGAGCAAAATTGGTTGCTTCAGTCCTGGGTGCAGATGCCTGCTTTCCCTGTTTACATATCTGATTGACAGATCACTTCAGTGTTCTGAGTGACTTATCTGTAAAATAGAAATATTGATATCTATACATCTATAATGGCTGGTACTTAGTAGGTGATTGGTAATGTTAGCCTCCTTTTCTACATATCTAGACCACTGCTACTCAGTACCTCCTCCATTCCCCCAGGACACAATGCAAACAGCACTCAGTCATGTGGGTTTTATTGTTAAAGACAGGTGGCCAGGGGTCAGAGGAGACACTGATGTGGGGGCTTGGGCCTTCTGGAAGGATCAACCTCACGACCTTGCTAAACAGACCCCTTCTTTGTGCCAGTGTGACTTGGTGGGATTTTATCTGCACTACTTTGAGTGCATGTGCCTGGGGGCATGTGCCTGGGGGCTTTTGCAATTCTCCCTGGGGGTGGGAGGAGGCCAGGTGGCCATGCACATCCTGTGAAGAGTCTCTGAAGTCTAAACCTACTGAGCAGTTGCTCGACCTTCAGAAATGAACATAATGAAGATTTGAGACAACTGTGTGCTGCACTCTCGCTGTTTGCATTTGCTTTGAGAATTCATGAACCCGGTGATACTCAGATTTCTTTTAGCAAATTCTAGTCACAAGAGAAAAATAAATGGGTTTTGAAGAGAAATAGATGTTCTTAAGCTGTGTCTTTGCTGCTGTGGTTTTGGGATACAACATTGAGAAAGCACAAAAAGCAGCATAAAACTGCTTTTCATCCTTTCTCAGGCTGGCCAGCTCAGGAAGCACAGAATTAACTCACTTGTTTTGGGGACATGGGATTGGGTGTGGCTCTGACGTGATTCTCTCCCTGTCTGAAATGGAGGAATAGTTCCCAACTGGGATGCAGATGAGCTCATTAACATGCAAATCTTATGAAGGAACTAGTAGAAATCAACGTGGAGAAGTTGACTTAGAACTGGAAGCCTCCCTGGACCAGAGGCCAACTAGCACAAAGTCCATGCCACCAGCAAAGTGCCCAGCCCTTCAGGTCTGAGTGGCCTATGCCTACAGAATGGGAACTCTTCAGGAGCGTGCA